GTGTATGAGTGTATTGCCTGCGTGTATGTGAGTGCACCCATGTCATGCAGTGCCACAGAGGTCAGAAGAGGGCTTTGGATTCCCCTGTAACTGGAGTTAAGGATGGTTCATAGTTGCCATGTGGATGCTGGGAGTTGAACCCGGGTCCTCTGCAAGAGCAGTCAGTGCTCTTAACTGCTGAGCCATCTCTCCAGCCCCCAATTCAGAATTTTATAACATTTCAATTTATTATCTCCTTCAGGTTTCCATAATTAGTAGTGATTGAAGCCATGTAAGAAATGCTATATTAATTTGAAGATATTTAAAGTAAGGAGAATAGAGATGATACCCATGTTGGCAAATTCTGGACTAGCTAACTGACTTAGGGTTGGAGATGCCATGACTCTCTGAAAATCAGATTTGGAATTATGTCCTTAAAAAAAAAATCCCAACCCAAGGTGGGGTGGGGACAGTGTGGGTGAGTATGACCTTAAATATACTATACATGTATGAAATTATCAAATAATAAATAAATAAATAATAAATCAACCAAACTGTGTGTTTCTTTTGGAAGTGTATATAACTCCCATAGTGGAATTGTCCCTATTTTGAGTTTGGAGAGCCTTCCTCCTCATACCCCATGTACAACTTCTTGTGGACTGCGTTTTTGTACACTGGTATCTCCAACATCTAGCTCAGAGTCTGACATAGTATGTAGTTTTAAATGAATGAATGGATGGATAAAACAAGGTGAATGTCATCCATTTGGGATCTAACGTCCAGAGTGTCCCAGCACAGGTCTCAAACTGCTGCCGCCTTTGCAACTGCGCTTAATGTGCATGTCTCACGTCTTTTACTTACTGACAATGTGCCCCACTCCGCAGAGGTTGTCTGCCCAAAGCTTTCCCTTTTCAGAAAACTGTGGTGGCATCAAAGTTCTCTTGTATGATGAGTGATTGAAGGAAAATGCATACTTAGGATGAAAACACAAGAAAGCACTAATTTTCTAAAAAGATTCAGAAGTAAGGATAGTTTTGCCCACACAGCACAACCAGATATGGCATTTAATTATTATCCTGTGAGTTAAATCAGGCTAAGCCAGCCAAACCAACTCATATTTCTGGCATGAATTAGCTAGTTTGGCTGCTTATTCTGACCAAATCAATAGAAATTGGTGCCAAATCCTTGTTTTATTGTGTGCTGTGTTGGCACAGACCTATTCTTCTTGTTCAAGAAAAAAAAAGGTACTTGAGTACAAACGTAGACACTGGGCTTCCTCCCAGCTCCTGGAGCTTCCGGAATGCCAATATTCATCAGGGATGTTTGGGAAGACTGGATTTTAATTCAGGACAAGAACAGGGTTTATGGGGCATTCCATGCCTCAGTTTATAAACAGGACTATTTCAAGCACAAAATTCCAACTTAGATTTCTCTTTAGGGCTAGAGATGTAGCTCAGTGATAGAGCACTTGCCCAGCGTGTACAAGGCACTGGGTTGGATTCCCAGCACGGCAAAACACAAAACAAACAAAACAACAAAATGTGACTTTGTTACCCTTAAATGTATAGTATGTTCTCTAGAATCTTCCAAAACAAAATGTCTAGCCCAAGAAATGCAATAATGACTTTATCCACCTTAATTTCCATCTGCACAGATTCTAAGACTTTTGAATTTAGGGGCACTAAGTCTGTGAAGTGTTTTTCCACTGGGAAATACTTTCTATGGTAGTCTGGCAGTCTGACCTCTAAATTCTTACTACACAATGTGATCATACCCAGCACACGGTGGGGAGAGCCTTCCCAGTAGCTATTGTTTAATAATAATAAACAAGGTGTGGTGGTTTGAATGAGAAATGTCCTCTGTAGGCTCATGTATTTGAATACTTGGCCCCAGAGAGTGGCACTGTTTGTGGCAGTTTAGAAGGTCTGGCCTTGCTGGAGGGAGCATGTCACTGGGGGTGGTTTTGAGAATTCATGGCCTTGCTTCACTTCCAGCTTGCTCTCTCTGCTCCCTGTGCATAGTTGAAGAGGTGGGTTCTCAGCGTTCTGCTTGGGCTGCCTCCCCATACCATGATGGACACTTATCTGTCTGGAACCATAAGCCCCAGTAAACTCTGCCTTCTATAGGTTGCCTTGGTCAGGGTATTTTCTCACAGCAACAGAAAAGTTAGTAATATACATGTTGTTTAATACTAATTCCACAGGAGGTAAGCTTTGTTTGGCATAAGATTACCAGTGGTTGCGTCCGGCAACATGCAAACCAGTGAGAGCCTGATAGATGGACAAATTTAGTGGTACGTTCCTCATAATCAGTAGCACTGACATTCAAACATGAATTTGAAATTAGCAGCCCTAGGGTTGGACTGAGCCAGGAAATTTTCTTTGCTTGGCTGTAGTTTTCTCTTTTGTGCATTATACGAACATTGAAATGTTAGGAGGATCTCTTAAAACTTTGGATAGCTAGGTTCTCTTGAAAAATGGTAAGATTTTGCTCCTGTGGACACATGGCAACAACTGGTTGGAGCAGATTAGTCTTACACTCCTCAGGTCTCAATACCCTCCTTGCCCCACTCTGTCTATGTTATTCTGCAGTGTAACCATGCTCCACTTAATCATCACACTCAGCCCTGTTCTTTCTCTAGCTGGAGAGAAATATTTCTCTGTATCCATGACTATCAAAGTAGGAAAACAAAAAGTAGCCTGAAAGGGCATCTTCATATACATACGTCATCCACTTGATGACTGTGAGCTTTTGAAATTGCTTTTCCGTTCTTGAATAACGGAGCCTTACTTTGTTCTCTCCCTAGGCAACATATTCCCCAGTAATATCTCCCAGGACACACAGGGATCCTCTAGGGGTCTATATCATTTGAAAACATTTCCTTCTTTCCATTCTCACTTTGAGAACCTTTGTACTCAAAATCATGAAGGAAATTCTCATTGAATCAATCATTCATTTTAATTGATTTTAAGTATCTAAATTATTGTGTAGCTTGGGAATTGCTTCTTTGAGACTAACACCTTAAAAAGATCTCTGGCAGAGCTAAATTACACCCCCAGCTCCTTGTCTTAACTCCCATGTGACTGCACTCCAACTCACAGTTAGCATGTGTTATTGATTGCTTGCAACTTATAATCCTATTTTCTTCAACAACAATATTATAAACATTGATAATTTCTCCAAAATTTTTTTAACCGTGTGAAGGAATTGCATCAGAATATTATTTTTCCTGAAAAATTACTCAACCAAAACGCTTGTTCCTTCAATAAAGTTTGATTATTAAGTATTTAAAACACCAGGGAATTCTAGTGTAGGGGAAAGGTTAACTGGGACTGTTACAAAGGGAAGCAATGCTTTTTATAACTATGTCATATACAAGTTTTCCTCTTCTCAAGAATATGGGTTTTCAACACAATTTTGAGAAAGCAGAAACTTGTTTCTACCCCAGAATAGGCCGTAAAAGAAATCCAGGACCCATCAGAGTGTGTCCAGGAGAACTTTAGGTTCTCAGCTTAGAGACTACTAGGGATGATGCAGAAGGATTAATTAGTTTACTAGACATAATGTTAAGAATGGGTTCTGACCTGTAAGTGCTTTCTGTAAAGAATTTGTTTCCTAGAAAAATAGGTAATGAAATGAAAACATGCGCTCATGGAGACATTTAATGCAGCTTTTGTGATAAGAATTTCAGCTTCTATGATTACCCTTAGTTAGCAACGGACAGTCCAATTTCATAACCAAGTACCCCAAAGGTCTACTGGACTGTTTTGTGGGCAAGTTTATCCTCCACTATGAGCCTGTGTACATGCAATTACTTGTTTAAGGCCCCAGACAAGTGGAAGCCAGCACAGATCTGCAAGGCATTGAGGAATAATTGGGCATAGTTCTTGTACAAGTAATGACCAGCCCTCTAAGGCATGTAATAGTCAGAATGCTGCCCCATGACCTTTGAGTTGCACTGTGAGGTTCTTGTTACATGGAGATTTGGAAAGATTATGTCTTTAGAACCCTTGGGAAGAGGGGGAAAGATGCAGCTCGCACAGAGGTGACATGGTCTGCCTAAAGAAGGACAGTGACCACAGGTGGAAAAAGAGAACAGGGTTAGTAATACCTGAGGTTTGGGCCTTAGCTACAAACCCAGAAACCATCCTGCTGGGGTAGTGTCTATGGAAATTCCTTCTCCAAGCCAGAGATGTGCTGTGGGGGAAAGAGAAGAGTGGGCAGGAAGAAATGTACGGTAACATTTTTTTTTCTGCAACTTCTTGCCCTTGTCTGTTATTTGTCAATCACATAGCAAGTGATTCTTTAACCTGTCCCATGCAGTATTAAGCTGCTTCCTGACTGTCATGGTAAACAGAATCCTTTCCTGTGAAGCTTCCACTGCTTAAAAATCAAAGTGTCAATGGACAGAGTAGCCATTGCCCGCCCCCTCCCCATTCTCCCACCAGCATAAAAGGTAATGGGGTGGGTGGGACAACTGGAGAGGGAAATGAAATCATGCGGGTACACCAGGAAAAGATAAAGTGTTGGTGGCAGTAGAGTTGGTGAGTGTGTCGTGGGCATTACCTCTTGATGAGGCTTCCAAGAAGGCTCCCGCTCAAGTCCTGGTGGCTCTGAGAACAAGCATTCTTGCATCAATAGCTAATAGGCTGTCCAACCAGATGTTATCTGGGTGGGATAAGAGGGTGAGAAAACAGACCTGTTGTACGCTGTTGTCAACTACATCACTGTGGTCAGAGAAGGCTGGTTGTGTGATGTTTAGCAGGGCACCTCTTTCATGGTGAGGCAGACCAGATTACGTGGGTGTTTAAATCCATTTCCTCTTGTGATTGGTAAAATATGAGAGTCATAATCATTCATGCATTACTAAAGCCTCCTTTCCATCATTTCGAAGGGACTTTCTTTTTTTCTAGAATAGAGCATGCATCCAGCAGAAACCTAAAGCGTTTGCTTTTTTAAGCAATCTTTTGCAATAAGCACACTTTAAAAACATACAAGACACCCCAAACTGCATATGGTACCTGTGACAAGGCTGGAGATGATAAGTGGTAAGACCAGCATCTGTAACATTCGCATCAGAAGCTCCCCAGGAAAGGAGAAGTATTTGACTTCTCGGTAGCTCATTTTATATGGTCGGAGGGTAAATCCGAGGATTGTACCTGAAGGTAAAAAGAAAGGGAAAATTGAGTCTTTTAAAAACTAAGACAAGATTCTCTGAAAAATGAGTAAGTATTTGGCTGGTACTCACGTCTGACAAGAATAAATTTATTCAAGTGGTGAATGTTTGTACAGGGATGGGAGCAAGGGTGCATCTATCTTTGTAGTCATTATATGGTTTGGCTCAAGCCAAGCCTTCAAGTAGCATTCAGAGAAAAAAGGTTTCTGATTTGAGCAAATGAGAATGCCTTTGTCTAACTTGAATGCAGTGGACCCATTTGGACATAGCTTGGTGCAGGGGCTTGAAGATGGGTATAATTAGGAGACTAGTCATGCATTCATGAGCAAGGTGGTAAGAGAGAAAAGGCCACATGAGAAAGCTTCACAAGAACAGATGGCAGAGTTGCCAGTGTAACCACTTATAAAGGGCAACACCATTTTATTTTTTCCTATTAAAAAAATCCTGCTGCTCACATTGCTAATCTATTTTACCATCTCCCTGTCAGTATACCACATGGTCTTGACTTTGTCTTGGCAACTATATTGTACAAGCTTGTTAGCTGCTGTCAAGAAAAGATTTCAAAATGAGCAAAGACTTTCCTGAAAAACTGTTGAAAATTTGTCCAGGGATATAGAGAAAAGAAAGTAGTTCACTCCTTAGTTTTCTTTCTGGGTTTGGAACTTTAAAATATACTTGAGAATGACATTACACATAAACCACATGATGCATGACACCTGTCGGCATTCAGAAATTAATAAAAAAAAATCAAATATGTTTACTCCTTCTCTTCTTTCTCCAACTTTCCTGGTCCAAGAAAATTTATTTAGAGGCTAGAGTGATAGCTCAGCGGTTAAGAGCATTGACTGCTCTTGCAAAGGGCCCAGGTCCGATTCCCAGCACCCACATGGCAGCTAACAACTGTCTATAACTTCAGTTCCAGAGGATCTGATGCTCTTTTCTGACCTCTGAGGGCATTGCACAACACAGGTGCACTTACACACATGCAGGCAATACACTCATACACATAAAATAAAATATTTTAAAAAATGTATTCATTCCAATACTATAAAAAGTTTCAAACTTTTGCCTTTCATTGTGATTTCACTATTTTTAAAAGCCATGTAAATTATAAGGAAAATAAAATAATAGTGAGTTACCTAGAAACCAGAGGTTTGAGGTGGAAATAGGGAGGAATGAGCCCAAGGTTTTCCTAAGAATGTAAGAAGTCCTTACAAAAACTAAAATTTCCTAATTTCTTATGAAATGAATCATCTGTCTTATGAAATGGGACACAAAGTGCATTCAACTGTCACTGTGACTCTCATTTTGTTTCTTGGGTCTCACCAACCACACAGTATCCTTCCTTCAACCATAGACTGTGATGGGGGTAATAAGCACCTCAGTGTCTGCGACTAGAAAATCCAGTTGACCCTGTTCTCAGGCCTTCAGGAAAATATGTAACATCCCTTCATTCCGATGTAATAGTAATATGCTCAAGAAGGAAAAGCAGATCTGGAAAATTCAGGGAAGTGGGAACCAAAGCGTGTATGTATTGGTTCTACCGCTTAAATAAGAAGGAAATAAGTAACGCTTGCTGAGCTCTTACTATACGCCAGGCATTGTTGTTAGAACTTTACCCCTGATAGCAAATTAATCCTCACAACAACCCCAGGACATGGGTGCTACTTCACCACCAGTTTACTGGTAAAGAAACCTAATCACAATGAATGTAAAATGTACCCAAAGTCAAATACCCTCCAAGTGACAGAGCTAGGATTTAAGCCTGTACTGTCTCCTCTTAGATCTCAAGTTCTGCCTCTCCTGAAGAGCAAAGACAACCACTGATAGCACTTCATAGTGAGTTTCTTTCCAGAATGTTCTGCTACACAATTACATAGATGGGTAGTGTGTGACTGACAAATTCCTTCAATTCTCCTACCTGTCAAAGGTTATTGAACAGTGCTTGAGGAGGACAATCAGGGAGGTGATATTTTATGTGTCTCCTAACAGCCCACCAACAGGTCTTGCTGGGCAGAGCAGTCCTGGCATCTGCTCCTCTAGAATGTGCCTCGGTTTCCTTACAGGTTAGCATACAAAGCAACAGGTTCCAGTATGGCACTTGCATATATACGCCATTATACTTTGCTCCCATTCATTCCCCTCCTTCACTACCTGCCCTGTGCCCCTCTCTAGACCAGCTCTGGCTGGTTCCCTTCCTTCCCTCAGGTCATACCTGCTCCTGCTTTCTCATATATGTATTCTTTTTTTCTCTCTTCTCCCCTCTTCTACCCTTAAGGTCTCTTCCTCTTCTCTCATGATCCCTTTTCTAGTTTCATAACTTATGTGTGCATGCGTGCGCGCACACACACACAGACACACAGACACATACACACACAGAGACAGACAGACACAGACACACACACAGACACAGACACACACACAGACACACACACACAGATGCACTCAGATACACACATATCTTGTTTCACATATAAGAAAAAAGGTGGTATTCGTCTTTCTGCATCTGGCTTATTTTACTTAACATCTTGATGTTCATGTCTATCTATCCTTTTGCCTGAAAATATCAGTCTCGTTTTTCTTTACAGATAAATGAAATTCTATTGTGTGTATGTACTATAGTGTATTTATATTTTCATCAATTGATGGGCTGGTTCCATTTCTGGATATTGTGAATAGTGCAGCAATAAATATGGATGTACAATTATCTCTGTGATAGGAGGCCTTTTTAAAACTCCTTTTTTCTCCTCCCTTCCTCATTCCTCCTCCTCTTCCTCTTCCTCCTCCTCCTCATTCTTCCTCTTCATCCCCCCTGCCCATTCCTCATCCTTCTATGTTGGGATTGAGCCAGGGCCTCATGCATTCATTTTACTAAGTGAGCTATACCCCTAGCCCCAGCACCCACATCTGAAAGTTCTTTATGGTGGGAACAGCAGTTATTTTTAAGGCGTAGATTTAGAACAAATGTTTTGAAGAGTAAAGTTGTTTGGAATGATTACAGATACACTGTGCAGCAGTTTTGTGCTGGATTATGTTTTTGTTCATTTACTCTTATTTTGCCAAGTGAGTCATTTGTACTCTTGGGAAAGACGAGATTATGTTGGGGAAGGGGAATATTTATTGAGTCCTTATGATGTGTTAATGGTAGTGTTTAACCCTCATGACAACTTTATGAGGCAGATATTATCATGTCTAGTTTAAAGATGAATACACTGATGCTCAAACAGAAGACTTAAACACAAGCCAGTGCTTTTTCTATTACATGTTGTTAACTGTCCCTCCAACACAAACACATCTTTGTAGGCTGGGTCTGAGGGTAGCTTTCAGATGAGCCTAGCCCCTGGGTCTTCAGCATTTTTAAGTCCCACGTTGTGCATAGCTTTGAGTAATAATATAGAACTCCTAGAGATGAGCGGCACCTGACAACTCGTGGAACCCTCTATGGAACTTGCCTGTTATCAACTTCAAAATATGGTTATTGGTAACAAGTCACTGCTTAAAGTGGCTAAACCAAATCCTGTTCTCCATTTTCTTTTTATCTTTTTCTTTTTGGACAGTTTTTCTATGCAGCTCAAACTGGCCTAGAAATCATTATGTAGCCCAGGCTGGCCTTGAACTTGCAGTCCTCCTGTCTTAGCCTCCTGAGTGCTGGGATTTACAGGCATGTACCACCATGCCTGGTTTACCAGTCCTCCCCCTTTTTAAGGAATGGTTTAATTAACTAAATGATTTGATTAACTGAAAGAGCCTGCCTTTTCTCCAGTGCACACTACTTAATCATTGGGAAGCATCAGTGGTAGTGGTGGGAAGGACATGAAATGAAAACATGTTTCAGGGTTTACAACAGCTGATCATCTCTGGGCTCATGGTAGGCGCCAAGGCCTTACCAGCATGTTGCTTCACAAATACTGTTGAAGCCAGAACTATTATTATCCACCCCTCAAAAGAAGAGAACAAAAGCCTCTGAGAGGGCAGGGCAATTGTCAAAACTGCATAGCCGGTACATAGCGGAGCCACATACACTCAGAGAGGGTCAAGCTGTTTGCCTAAGGCCTACCATGAGCAGCTGAAGAGGGTCTGACATCAGATGCAGAGCTTGACTTTCTCATTCACTATATTGTATGAGTCCCACTGCTAATTTAAGGATCCTAAATACCATATTTTTCCAACTTTTTGCTCTCTTTCAAAACAAAACTTTTTTTTTTTAAGAATCAATAGGATATTTATGCTAACTAAACCTAGACCTTAATCTGGAGAAAGGTGCTGTTAATTTTAATTTTTTTCCCCCCACTCATGTGTTGAAGGAGTAACCAAAAGACATTTTTCTTAAATTTTCTGTTCCAAGTCAGTGATAGGTGAGCCAGCTATGAGCATTGAATAAAGAGGAAATGCTCTGAAAGCGAAGACTGCTTTCTACCATAAGCAGTTAAGGTTTCTGATTATTCCAGCAGTGAAGAAAAGCTTGTCCTAAAGCAGGTTCTCATAGCCTGATGCACAGGCTTCTAGAGCCCTCTCCTCTCTGCCCTTCCTACCAATGAGAGATAGAAAAGTGGGTCTTAGGACAAGGTCTGATGAGCCAACTTCCCTTAGCAGTGGAGCCCCTGAGAAACTGACCTCCATCAGTGGATACTGACTGATGGCTCCAGAGCTAACAAAAAGCTGTATGCTCACCAGAATATCAGTGCATAAGAACAAATCTTCATTGTTGGTTAGCCTGCAAAAATAGCAGCAAGAATCAGAATAACTCCACTAGAACCAAAACAAACTTTGCCAAATTTGATACAGGGATGTGACGATGTTCATTGTTCACTCTCAGCTAGGTCTTCTAGCATTCTTAAGTATTTAAAAAGCTTTCTAGAATCTAGGAAATACTTTAACTGAGATGCTTAAGGTGATCAAAATCTACTGTGTAGTTGAAACCTATGAATGAGGATGCATTTTTGCTTAAAGACTATCACTTATGAAAATCTCAAGAAGGGATTC